TCACGGGTTCGAATCCCGTTGAAGCCCTGATTTTTTCAGGCTTCTTCTTTCCAATTGCTTAAATTGGAAAATTTACTGTGATGATCATTCTTCACTTTCGTGGCTGATTAATGTTACAGCTCATTTAACGTCTGACACTGTCTGGGAGAAAGTTGAATGATCGAGCAGCCCTGTATTTAAAAGTAAGCTAATAGCCCTAGTTCACAGTTAGTGACATAACAATATAAGCATAATGATTACATAAGAAGGACGTTATGTCGTTATGTTGGCAGTGCGAACATCCTGACATAACAACATAATATCAACATAACAACATGAACATAACGACATAAGGAAAAGGCTGATTTTTCCTCATGTCCTTATGTCTGTGTTGTTAGGACGTTATGTTTCTGTGAACAAGCGTGAACATCATCGACATAACAACACAACTGATGAATGCTTAGGAGTTAGCTGAAACGTCTTGCTAAAATATACAAGTCAGTGACAAAAAATGGCACTTTTATCAATTACACAACATAGAACCAATCAATTGTTGAAACCAGTCCACCACCAGCATTATTAGAAATGGCGGCGACTGAGCAAGCATTGACTGTTGCCAAGTAAGAAATATTGACAGCTCAGATAGATGAAGAAGCACTTGCCAAAGTGGTTCAATGCTATCCAATATTGTATGACAAAACTATGAAGGAATTTAAAGACCAAAAGAAGTGTCTCCTGCTCCATTTTTCACCTAGCCTTATGTTGTTATGTTGATATTCACATTACCGACATAAAGGCGATTATGTCGTTTATGTCATCATGTCGTTATTTTGTTATGTCGTTATGTCGCTAGTGTCAATTAGGCTTTACCTGCTTCCTTCGTAAGCTTATTTATGTACAATAGAGGGGCGACAGATCGATGAGACATTGTAAAAATTCTAGTTAATGTTGTAGATGTTTCGGACAGCCCTCGTCATAAAATGCTTTGTGAGTCATTTTCACTAAGTTTAACTCTGCCCTGTCACGAATAGATAACCCGTTTAGATTTATGACATCACTCAAGGTATGCTGTCTTAAAACGCTTACAGCGACTTCAATTTAAAGTAGCCGTAAGAGTTTGATTTGATTTTCCGGACAGGGCTTGACATGATGCCTTACACTATTTTATGGAGATTTTACAGGGAAAAAAGCATTAATGTTAGACTGAAGAACAAGAACTCACCAAACATTCCTGGCCGAACAAGTCGGAGCCCCTTGCACACAGTTCGTAAACACAAAGCCGCCATCTTTGCTTGTCACACTTTGCCCGCGGAGCCTTGGCCAGAGGAAGACACGTGCTTTGATTGGCTAGGAAATAATAATCTTGAACCCAGATCTCCCACGGTACAAGCTCGCTTTCAACTGCAAATTGGCGTGCGAAGAAAAATCCATTGCAGAAGGGTTAGGATGCTTTACTCAGTGACATTTCGAATGTGAATATGTATCCTTTTATACTTATAAGAATGTACGACTTTATTATTTTACAGGCTGTTAACGTTTCAGCCGATATCGGTTAGTCACATGTGAAAATTAATAAGAATTGCAGTGACGGAGTAGTGCTGGGAGCCCTGGGGGCCCGGCCTCCCTTATTTTGGGTAAAAAAAGAATAAATCACAGAAGGAAGAAAAGCCAGCAGGGCAAGCAAAACAAAACCGCCCCTCCNCCCCCTTCCTTATCTAAAGGTCTGGATCCGCCACTGAATTGGTAATCAACAAGGAAGCTACTTGTAGATTCGAAGCGACAAGTTCAGCTGTCTGGCTTACTTACGTATAAAACCTATCATAAAGAATATTAAAGGTTAAAGTGAATCATTTCTAATACTAAAGAGACTTTTTGACTGCTAAAACACCATTCTAAATCGATTATTTGCGAAGGCCACCATCAATACGAGCTGTGACCTTTGCACTTTTGTTGCAAATTTTTGTCGTGTATAAGCTTTAAAGAAAGCTTCTCTCGCGTCCAACACAGAATGATACCCGCAGGTTTGACTTCAGAATCTGTACGGGCAAGGTCAGATCTTTGCTGTAAATCCCCTTTTTTGACCTTAGTTTAGGTACCGCTTTTGAGATTTCATTCTTGCATTCAATCAATTTTCGGTTCCTCCTGACTAGCCACCCGGTATGGTGTCTTTGATTTTCCCTGCTCTGTGTAACTTTTATCCAATCCTTACAAAATATTGGTGCAAAGCAGTTCAAATGTACCTGAATGCTTTGGTATCGTCAATATGGAACAATGCGTACTTGTTTTGAAGCTGCGCGACCAGAAAAACTCGCAAATTTCGACTCCTG